ATTACATAGATGAATCCTCTCATTTTTCTTCAAGTATGTATTGGGTAGTTAGCCCCCTCAACACAAAAACATAATAGAGTCACTTTTTTGCGGACGATCCGCAAAAATTTTTTTTATAAATTTGAAGAGATTTTTGTGTAAAATAATTTAACGATACTAAAGTGGGTATAGGAGATTTAACTGACCGATTAGAATTAGGGTTGCCGTTTTCGGGTCTGGCCGACGGTCGAGGCATTTTTCGGGCTTGTTTTTATCGAGTCGGGCCGGTACGAGTCATTTTTGGGCCAAATATCTTGGGCCCGACTCGATCTTTCTTTCGATCGGTCGATTTTGGCAACCCTAATTAGAATCTTCAAAATTATATAATCTATCAGTGAAAATCTTCTTAATTTAAGTTAATTATTGTAAAAAAAATTCTTTTTCCTTCAGCGATAAATTCAGAAAAAAATCTAACTAAAAATTATATAAGAATTTTTGGTAGAATTTTTATATTGTTATTGGACTTTAATAATTTAAAATATGCACGCAAACTTCAAACTTTTTACAGACTGCCAAAAAAATAATAATTAATAAATATTTCTCTTTAAATAATATTTAAAATAAAATTTAACTTTAAATTTTATCCGCAAAAAATTTTTTTTTGATGAAAACGCAAAAATATATTTATATTATAATGACAACGCCTTCATCTCAAGTTTTCAACAATTCTTCCCCTCCCCCCCCCCCCTCTCCTTCTACATATCCTCTCGTTGAGTTAATTTCCTGAAAGAATACTTGAAAATGAGGAGGTGAAAACAAAAAAAATGAGAAATGAGACGGGAGAATAAAAAAATAAAAAAGAAAAGAGTTAAATGCCAAAGGGCAAAAAATGCGCGTGTTGTTTTATGAAATTTGAGGTTAAAATAAGGAAGTGTTGAAGATGTAAAAAATAAAAAAGAAAATAAAATTAAAAAACTTCTTTTTAATATAAAAAAATATTATCTACAATTTTTATAAAAAATAATTAAATAATTTATTTAAGAAAAAATCAAGGAAATTGCTGTTGTAAGGGGTATCTGGTTAATAATAGAGCTATAGTCTCGATCAGGGATGGATAATTTTGAATCTTAAAAAGCGGCAAACTGAAGGCTGACCAGGAAGAAAATCCATTCCTGATCTCGATAAGGACAGGATCAAAGGTTCTCTAATTCTAATATAAACATTACTAATGACTTTTACAATTCAATGAAATATTTGAAGAATATTTGACAAAGACGAATTCTGATATATTCGAATATTTAAAAACAATTTATATATTTTATGTAAATTTTCTGAAAAGGAAAATAAAATTTTTTTGCAATAAATTAGCAAAGTATTTTTTTGGTTTTTGATTTCAGAAGAAATCCACTCATAAAAAAATTTTCTGATATCTTTATGAATTTCCTCTTTAGCCCTTTTTAACTATGATTAATTACTTCTTTACAAAATTTCTTATGCTGATTTTTTATTTATTTTTAGTTACTTGATTTATTTATTTATTCTACCAACTATTGACTAGAAAGATTTGTGCATATACATACATATGTACATATTTAATTTAAAAAATATTACCTAGGTATTTCTTTTAATTTTTATTAATTTACCAAAGAAAGAGAGAACTCGTTTCCATAACAAAAAGTTTACCTAACTACAAAAATTTATTTACTATACATACTTATTAATTGTCAAGCTATTTAATGTAAAAATTTTTTTTATTATTTTATTATTTCTTTTAAAATAAAAAAATTAGCAAATCTTTTTTAAATAAAAAATTCTCAAATGGATATTCAAAATTCTTCAAACAAACAAAAAAATAAACAATTAATTACCCCCACTAAATGCTGTATTTGTGGGTATTTAGCTAGTGGTTATTCTTATTATAATGTTGTTTGTTGTGATGGTTTGTTTTCTTGTTTAATTTATTTTTAATTTACAAGTCTCCATAAAACAATGAAAAATTTTTTAAATTATTTTTGTCTTTTTTTCTAATTATATACCTTATATCCTTTAATAACTACTCTGAGTAATTATTTTTTTCGATGTTCCGCTGGAGGGAGTAATTACTTGAGGGAGGGTAATTATACGAGGTTTGAAATTTGAACGTGATTTAGGGCATTTGTTGGGGGTAATTATTGTTTCAATCCATCGCTGGATAGAGTAATTAATGGAGGCGAGGTAATTATTTGGGGGAGGGCAATTAATATAGGTTATACGGTACATCATTTTTTTATTTATTTTTCTGATTTAAAATCCTCTATAAAATATTTATTAAATATTTATAGGTTGTAAACACTTTTTTCGTCGCTGTATAACTTTAATAGAAAATAAAGTGTTTAAATGCAAAAATGATGGAAATTGTGAAATTGAAAATGGTAGGAGGGAGGAGGGAGGGGGTTAATTAAATTAATTATTTGTTTAAAAAGTTCCAAATAAATGCAAAAGTTGCCGTTTTGATAAATGTTTACTAATGGGAATGAATATACAAACAATGAGAGGAGACAGATCAAAATCTTTGTGGGAAATAAAGGCAAAAATTGAACAGAGAATTAGAGAACTTGCAAATAATGGAAAATATATAACGAGAAAAATGGAAGAAAATGAGAATGTTGTTGATTTGGTAATATATTTTGAATAATGTAAATGTCCTAATAGAATTCTGTAAAAATCTCCTCTCTTCATATTTAATCAAAATAAATTATAGAAAGAACAATTAAATGCAGCTAATGATTATCATCAAATTATTGAATACCTCTTAATTATTGAGAAAAATGCCAGTCGAATTAGAAATTCCCCAACAAATGTTCCTGAATGGAATTTTTTATATTCTTGTAAATCTTTGGATACATTGCTTACTCGAAATGAGAATGTGCTTTCTCATAGTCTAGAATATTTGGTAATTATTTAAAACAGTCAATTTCTTAAATAAATATTGAGAAATTGAGTAACTCATTAAAATTAATTAAACTAGATAGATGGACTTAAATAATTCCTACATTTACTTTGAAAATCATAAAATTACAGTGCTTCCTTTTCCAATATTAAATTAAATTAGTGATTTATTTTAAAGATACGATCACTTTGCAAATACAAAAATAATAAACTAATTATATTTATATTATTAGACTATAAAAAATGAAAAAAAATTTTTTAAGGAAAAAGAACAAAAAGCAGAACAATCTTTAATTGACTTTTTACATAAATATGGGCATTTTCATATGCGCCCTCCTTCTCTTACAGAAGATTTGCTTTTAATTGTTGAAATTGCAAAAAGTCTTCCTTTCTTTCCAAAATTGGACTTAAATGATAATGTAAAGTTATTTTAAAAATTTCGGAGCACCTCAGTTCAGTCACTTTTTCATGTCCTTGGTATTATTGGATAGAGAATCGAAAGCTCTACAATATTTTTAAAAAATTAAAATTTTCTGATATATTGTAGCTTATTTAATGCTCTATCAAATGAGACCAAGAACATTAAAAATTATCAGCCCCTTCAAAAGTTATAGGGCGCGCGACTGAACTGAGCCCAGACTGAAACGAGGTGTACCCAAAAAAAATTTATCTTTTACATAAAAATCAAAAAAAAAATTTAAAGATTTATTTATTATCAACAATTGCTTTACCTTTATTAGTCTTGGTTATGGGTTATTATTCTTATACAAAAAGATCAGAAACTATTATTTTTCCATGTGGTATTTCTGCAATATTCTCCTTAAGAGGAGAATTTTATGGAGGAGATTTAACGTAAATTTAGATCTAATAGAAAATCTAAAAAATTTTTTTAGAATAAATAAACTAATCAAAATTGTATTTAAAAAAAGTATGGAACCTTTTAATCGAGTTAAGCTTGAAGAGGAAGAATATGTTTTACTTAAGGCTATTATCTATTCACATATGGTTACTAACGGATTAAGTCAAAATGGACAGAAAATATTGTTAGCTGAGGCAGAAAAATATTCTGGAATTTTATTGAAAGTTTTACAGGTATAAAATAATTATATAAATTAACAAAATAACGGTCATGTTAATGCATATGTATATAAAACGTAAAAAAATACTTTTAATTAGGGCAGCGCCCCGTCCCCCGAAGACTCTACTCTGGCAAACCCCGATCCCCGACGGTCCCGCCCTGAAGGCACGGGGTGCCACTCTACTTCTAATTACTGATGGTTGAAAAACAACCTTTTCAAAGGAACCTTATGTTATAAATTTCCTGAATTAAACACTTGATTACTCTGAAATTATTTTTCGATTCTGATTATTAAAATATCTAATCAGAAAACTACAACATTTTTAGAACAATTATGGACCAATACCAGGCGCCAGAAGATACACAGAATTACTTCAATTAATTGAATTTTGCTTTAATCACGCAAAATATCACAGTCTTCTATTAAATTACATTGCTTTTGTTCACGATCGTGGCCAATTTCATAACGTAATGCCAAAAGCACTTGCTGATCTCTGCCTGCGAGGAAATGTTAAATTACCCGAACTAGAACAACTTTGAGAATTATTATTTTTTATAAACTTTTTAAAAAACATTTTCATTTCAAATATTCCTAATATTTTTACACACTTTTTAATTAAATATGTATAATAATCTGATATTATAACTAGAGCCCGGACCGTACCGTACTACGAACGTATCTTTCGGTATTTATCGGTATTCCGTATCGGTAATACGGTACGGAATACCGACCAATACACGATTCCGGGCTCTAATTATAACTACATATGTATGTATAAAATATATATTTATAGAAAAAATTGAAGTCTGAAGAATTTTTTTAGAATTCAATCTCAATAGTAATTATATCCTTTGATCTCTGGTTTTTTAGATCATCTTAAGTCTATCATTTAATTCTAATCAAAAAACAATAAAAATGTAAACTAAATTATTTTTAATATGTATAGAATGAGCAAAGAAGTGTCAAGGAAAGGCAAAGAATTTACAAAAAATAAAGGCTAGTAATATTCTTTAAAATGATAAAATTGAGATACTAAAAAATATATTCTTAAATTTCTTGTCATTCAACATGAAGATTCTGGTCCTTACGTCCATCGTTATTTGATGTACCAACATCATTCGATTTCTGCCTTTTAAAATGTCCAATTTGAAAACAACTAATTTGTAAATATTCACAGAATTGTCGACAGATAAGAATACAAAAAATTATGAGACTTATATGAGCATAGATCTGACGAAAAAATTTTTATTTTTTAAAAAGGTGAAAAGATAAAATTATTTACCGTAGCAACCAAAAGCAACAAATATTCATCTACAATATAATCATAATACTAAAATTAAAAATAATTAAATAAACTAATCATTCTAATTTCTACCTGATTCAATATCATAATGAAGGGACTTAAATAAATCCAATCCCAAACTTCCAATTCAGAACGGCTCATATGAGCAATTATCTTAAAATTTAAAAATAAATAAACAAAAAAAGAATGTAAAAATAATTAAAAAAAACAAGAATTCCTGAAAAAAATCTTTTAATTAAAATTTAATTACAGAGAGAAAATTTCTTCCATATTTCTAGTTTGTTAAATAAATTCTTTTTTTGAAACTTACTAAACGATTAGTAGCTTTAGCTCCAATTGCACCAAAACAAAGACAAAGTAAAGTAATATTTTGATCATAAACTCTGGACGTTGATTTACAATAAAGCATTAAAAAGGGAATACACACAGCCAATAATGGAGATAATGGACAAATTACTGAAGTGTCCTTAAAAATTTTAAAAAATTCAAAAATCTCGTAATGTTAAAACTATCTTAAAATCGATAGTTTTTAAAAAAAATTTTGATTTCAACCTCCCTCCTCTTTCTCTCTCTCCTAATTACAAAATATTTTATTTAGCTAAAAAATGAAGTGAATTTTACAATTTTTGCGGAATCCCAATCTTAAACTCTCTCCCTTGTATTTTAAAAATCTAAATAAAAACAAAATAAATTCACCGCAACAGTAGATCCATTTTTCCCTACTCCTTCATTAAAAATAACATTCATATAACCAAAAAATTGCCATATTGCTCCAACAAGACAAACAAGCATACAAATAGTTTTTAGTTGCCAACCAAAAATCTTTTTAAAAAAATTAAAAATCATATTAAAAAACAAACTCTAATATTCCAAATATCAGAACCAACAACAGAAGTAAATAAAAGAATTCCAATAACAGTCATTTGGGCTTCGGTAACATCAAATCTTGAAAAAGAATAATTTCAATTTAATCAAAAAATTAAAAAAAAACTTTGAAAATCTAAGCTGTCCAGTACAATAAGTTGACCAATGTGCAGTGTAAAACAAAGAAATTGAAAAAATCATAACAGTCAAAACCATGTGACGTTCAGTTCCTTAAATAAAATTTTACTTAAAATTAAATAAAAATATTTAAATAAACTAAAGAATTTAGAAAAGAAATTAAATTTTAGACTTAAAGTTAACAAAAAAATAAAAAATGATGGAACAGAATTAATTGAAAAGTTAATTAGGTAAATATTCATTGAAGATGAGATTTAAAAAAGTATTAAATAGAAATATTGATGAAAAAAGTTTTTTTGAAAAAATTTTCAAAAAAAAATTCGAAAAATGCTTTGAAGGCGGATTAGAGGATACAATCACTTATGCTAATTTGAAAAAAAGGAAAAAAAAATAAACAAACCTAACTGCATTGCATAACAAACATTTAAAGTTACAAAAACTAAAATTTTAAAAATTAACTTGAAAATTTTGAAATAAATTTTAAAAACCTTGAGTTAAAGAGTCACAGCCGTGATCAAAAAGTTCCCCCAAAGGGGAAGAAGATTGAGTTCTCCTCGCCTGTTTTCCATCTGTAGCATCCAATGTCTGGTAAAGAAAAAGGCCAATTGCAGCTTGGAAATATGCCCAAGATGGGGCCTAAAATTGTTTAAATTTAAAATTAAATTTTTAATAAAACTTGTTCTGTCGCAGAATAACAAAAATGAGAAAGGATAAGTACAGTGACGAGGTTGATCAACTGAAAAGAAAAGAAGAATGAGAATAATAGAAAATAAAATTTAAAAAAATTTTTTAAATTTTTAAATAATACATCCTCATAAAGTAAAAAATTTTTTAAATTTCAAAAATAAAAATAAAGGAATGACTAAATTTTAGTAGTCTTAATTATAAATAAAATTCAAGTTTATTAATTTAATAAAATAAAATTTAAGTACCAAACCAATCAGCGTTATTAAATTAGGTGCCAACCAAAGTGGGTACCATTGAACAATGTAATTCCAAAACCTGAAAATAATTGACAAAAAATTTCAAAAATTTATAGAAATTGAGACTTGCTCATGCAAAGTTGATCTAACCAAGAAGCATCTATGGCAGAATAAACTAAAAGTTAAAAAATAAAAAAAGAAATTTAATTAAAAAAATTTAAACCGTGATCCCCCATCCTTGCAAGTTGAGAATGTTTTAATTGACAATCATATTCAATATAATTTACACAAAGAGAAATGAAGAAACCAAAAAATCTCTAAAATTTTTTAAATTATTTTTTAACTTAAGGAAATGAAAGAGAAACCTGAATAAAATTCCCCGAACTTTTCCCTTTCATTTCTCTCGGAGTTGTAGAACGTTGATTACGCTGGGCGCGCTGCATAAATGAATCAGGCAATGACGAGCGATACCTACGGTCGTGTTTGTTTGCGGCTGCTTTCGCTCCACTTCGAGTCTGGGCCATAAAATTTGATAAAATAAATCTAAAAGAAAAATATTAATTTTTAAAAGCCGGTTAAGAATAAATTATTTAAAAAAATATATTCGTGTTTTTTAGAGAGAGAAAGATGAATAATCTTAAAAACCTCTTAATTTGTAATACATTTAGATAAGAAAACAATCAAAATAAAGAAAGGAGGGAAATGTCTATTGCTTTATTGTCCCAAACCTTTTTTTCTTTTTAATGTCACCCCAGAAACAATTAAATGTTGTCTAGCAGGAAAACATTTTGAAATAACTTAAAAATAATATTTTTTGATTCAGACAAATACTATTAAAATTCTTTAAAAAATTAATTTATTTAATATATTTGGAGGTAATAATTTAAAATGAGTTCTTAAAAATAAGAACATAAATGAAAAAAAAATTAATTTTAAAATAATTCCGAAAAATTAATACAATAAATTTCTTAAAACTCAAGCGGTCCAACTTTGAATCCCTATAACTTTTCGAAATGGGATCAGGGGAAAAAGCCGAAAACTATAATAGGTTTTCGACCTTGCTCTACATGATGGTGCAAGAAATACAAAAATTTTCACATACAATTTGGGGTGTTTCCTTGTTAGATTATCAGTGTTTTAGACACTAGAAATTCCATTGTATTAATTTAAATAAATAAATAATTGTATTTTTGAATCAAATAATATTATTTATCGAGAGAATCCTTCTTTCATTGAAACAACTAATTTTTGAAATTCAATGGGAGCAAAGGAAATTGGGATTTTGTCGGTGTAAGCAAATCAATTAAAAAACAAAGCGATCCCGCCCAACCCTCAAACAAACTCCAAGGACAATCAGGTGTCCGAGCAGCATTCTTAAAAATTTTTGGTTTAATTTTTGTATAAAAATAAAAAACAAACCCTAAAATTTTCACTCATCATGATTAAAGCAAAAACTTTTGCCTTCTCAAGCCATCCATTTTCGAGGGTCTGCCTGTAGAGTAATAGAAATGCATATCCACTGCCTGCAACTCCATGACAAATTCCTGGGCCTTTTCCAAGAATACCTCTTTCCCAAATTAGTTGCGCACATCGAATGGCGGCCTTTTAAAGAAAAACTGTCATGAAATTACTTATTATCATTTCCCGCCCCCAATTTTGTCAATAAAAGGGGAGAGGACCCAGGCCAAACGCTCTCAGTTTTGGATCTTGTTTTTGGCCGGGTCCTCTCCCCGACCGGCGCATTTCTTTTTGTATTTTATTTATTTAAATTAATAAACGTTTTAAAGGAGAGGTTTTTGTTTAATTAACCGGGCGGACGCGCTCCGTTGATTGGGTTCGCCCAATCAACGGAGCCCAACGTCCGGCCCTGCCCAAAAATATATTATGGTGCTCCCAGGGCGGTTTTGCTCAACTTCCGCCCAAATTTTTTCTTTCTTGTGTTTTGTGTATAAAAATTTTTTTTATTGGCAGTCATCAATCAAAAATTTACTTTTTCCATCCAATTTACTTTAAATAATTTTTCTTAATTATCGCAAAAAAACGAGTTAACCTAAATTTTAAACTAAAACGCCCAAAAATTACACTTCTTTATAAATAGTTTATCTGCACAATTTTTTTCATTTTTTGCAAACATAATTTTTTTTAAATATTTTCTCTCCCTTATTGCGCACATAATTTTCTTCGTGCCCCGTCTTATACCCATCCAGGATTCCAGTCATCGCGTATTTACTCGTGAGCTTCCTCAGAGTTTCCCAAGTCCTCTAATCATTCGTATTACCCAATATCTCCATCTACCGTAGACAAAGAAAAAGCCTGTGTTAGCTTAACAATATTTATTCGAAACAACCATTTTACAAATTAAAATTTTTAAAAGGACGGCGGATCATAGGAAAGTCTTCTTGAGGCTTCTTCCGCATTTCCCTCATCTTTATCCCAACCAGAAATAAGGTCAGAAAGGCCGAAAAGATTGTCACGCCAAAAATGAGGGGGGACCAAAATTCCTTTCCAGGTGGAGGTGCCTCAAAGAGTCGAGGAGCCTGAAGAGCACAAAATGTTGGTTCCTCCCAATCCGCAATACCAAAACAGTAGAGGGAGCAGTTGTGATAGGGCATGCAGGTTCTTGAAGTAAAAGTGACCTCAGCGAGTCCTAAGAAACCGAAATTAAGAAATAAGGTCCCGATTCATTCATTGGCCACTCAGGAGTCTTAGTCGGCCGCTAAACTTTTGAGTCCCGTTCTGGGCATTTTGCTAGCAATTTCTTTAAATTTAAGGGCCAATTGGAAAGTTTGGGACGGAATAAAAAGATTTTGGGAAAAAAAAAAATACTTGCGAGGTTAATTTTAATTCAAAGAAGTTTTCGTCGTCAAAATTTCGGAGTTTGCGGATCTGGAGTCAGAGGGATTTGACACAGCCACAGAGGATTTGGAATCAAAAACACCAAGGGAGGCACGTTATAAAAGGAATCAACAAAGAAAGGCGGAAATGGCAATCGAACTCGAGGGGATCAAGACAAAAATGAGGAGCATTGAGGACATAAACACGGAGAGAGGAGCCTCGGGACTACCTTATCCTAGCTTTTTCAACGGCACAGAGGACTTTTTAACCTATTTGAAGAGGTTCAATAGGGTAGCTACGGCACACGGTTGGCAACCCCCTAGGTGTTGCCAAATATTACCAATATATTTGCGGGGGTCGGCGCTGGCAATTTATGAAGGAATGCCGGAGGAGGAAAAAACGTCCTGGAGGGCTTTGACGGATGGACTAGCTGACCGGCTAAAAAAGGTCTCAACTCGGGAGATGGCAAGGCTAAAAATGATGGAGCGATATCAAAAGCCGGGGGAGTCAGTTGAGGAGTTTGCTCAGGCCCTTAGGTGCTTGGTGGAGCGCGCATATCCGGACTCCTCGCTGGAAGTGGACCTCTCGGGACTGGCACTAAATCCAGACATACGGACTAATGTGAAAGGCCAGCATGAGGAGATGGCAAGGAAATTTAGGGACGAGCAGTGCCGCGATCGGTTTCGGGCGGGGTTGATACCCGAAATCCGAGAAAAAGTGATATTTATGGAGGACCCTGGGACCTTGTCAGAGGCGATTTCACAAGCTAGACGGGTGGAAGAATTGACTGGAGCGATTAAAGAGGACGTTTGGAGGAGGACTAAGGAAATAGAAGTTAAAGCGACGCTGGCGGAAGTCAATGAAATAAGGGCAAATAGAAACCAGGAAAATTGGAAGGGAAGAGAAGGAAATAATTATCAGAATCAAACCCAAGATTTTCGACAGTACTCAAATAGAGGAAATCAATGGGGACAGAGAGGAAATACAGGATGGAACCGAGGAGCTCAAAATCGTTGGCAATCCGGGAACCAGTCTTACCGGGACAATGAAAATTCTAGAAATAATTACCAAAGGGGACGAGGATGGAATAGGAACCCTAATATGATTGACGTACCAAGTTTTCGAGGAAGAGGGACAAGAGGAAGAGGATCGAGTTTTGCCCGGGGTGCCCGCATAAACGAAGTAACCTTTCCCTATATATGTCTGTTTGCCGTCATATTTCTGCCCATAATACAATGCCAATTTCAAATATGCCCTGAAAATTACCCTGAGGGGAGTGGGACTATCATGGATTTTCCAGAAGAGCACAACTGTACGATACCAATGGAGGAAGCACCCAAATTATCGAAAATCAATATTTATGTCCCAATAAGGTTGCCAAAGAAATTCCCAGTTTTTCGGTGCCATCGTTGGAATGTAAGGATGTGCACGGAGTCATATCTAGGAATTTATCGGAAGGAGAAAGATTCAAACATATTTTTTTCAAAAATTTCAAAAGAGGAATGTTGGCACACGTGGGATACTCAGTTATTGCAAAGAAGTGGAGAGAAAGCGTGGCAAACACCGAGCGACTGGCAAAAGGAGTACGCATTTTTCGGAGTAAAGTGTAAAAATGTGACGGGCATAACATTAGAGGAAGGATCGGGAGCAATTTTAGAGGGGAAAAAATTGGTGACTAGTTGGGGTGATGAATTTCTCGTTAGTAAAAAGGAAGATGAGAAAGAGGGATGGACAAAAACAGTAGAGTTTGAAGAAATATTGATGTGGAAAATACCCGACCCCACTTATTGGAATACACATTTTCGCGTAGGACCGGTAGGCGCAGAAATATGGGCACCAAAGGCGATTGTTGTCGATGAATTAAAATATTCCTTTATCTATCACACAAACAGTGCCCACCCCGAAAATTTACATGGACTCCCAGAAACAGCCATTCGAATGGAAAATGATGTGTTTATTGAAATAATAGAGGAAAATGAAGAAAATAGTACTAGAGTAAAAAGACAGGCAAATACTGGATTTTTAAAGAAAAATAGGAAAATGTTCGAAATAAGGACTACGCTGGAAACCACGACGCAAAGCACTAAAAGGTGGGAAACCACGATCCCTCCAACGACGAGGAGTGAAACAAGAGCGAGGTCATCAGAAGTAAAATCTACAACACCAATTTGGCGAGTAACGCCTCGGGCCCCTATTACCACGCAAAGCACGAAAAGGATAACTTTTGAAACAACCACGAGTCCAAGGACAACCAGAGGGACACCCGCAAAGCCTATAACAAGCAGGACAACCCCAAAAATTACCCAAAGAATAATTAGTAACACGAAACGGACAACGCCGGCGCAAAACTTATTTACCCAAAAATATACTGTTGGAACGACCCCCAGTCCAAGAACAACTCGTAGAATACCCGTAACACCGAGAACCACGCCTAAAAAGCCAAGTACCTCTACAATTAGGACGACAACCACTAGAAAAATAATTCCAACAATTAGGGCATCGGAAATTCAAAATAAGCCATATTTAAAAGAAAATACCCGGCTAGAACAAAAATTAACGAAAATACAAACCACCACAGAAAAGGTAACAGAAAGTGAACCGCGCTCAGAGAAAATAGTGGGGACAACGGAGGAAGGTACCACAACTTTAGTTATGAAAAGGGAAGTGACCGACAAGCCATGGATGGACCCAAAGGACGAGAACCACGCCAATTCTAGGTTAAATTATTTAGACTGGAAAACAGAACAGAGGCGGGTAGTTGAAGCCCGAGAAAAATGGATTGCAGATTGCTATAGCAGGAACAGTCAATTAGCGATTGCAAAGGCTTTAGCCAGGGAAATGCCGGAGCAGGCGGCGCGGTCTCTTTATAATCGGGACGATATAACCGCAACTCTACTAAACACTCAGGATGGGAAAATTCGTTGGCAAATAAACAGATGCCAACAGGTTAAAGCTGAGTCTGTTGAATGGAACCAAATGATAGGAAGCGAGTGCTATAAAGAGACACCAGTGATAGTAAATAAAAAGAAATATTTTCTTAAACCCGGGAGCAGAGATTTGATTTCCGCAGGCACTAAATTGAATTGTCTGAAGAAAAGAAAACTAGAAGGGGACCACAAATTAAATAACACGAAAATAGAAGAATTGAGTATAAGTAAATCATTTCAAACAAGCCCACGAATTAATAGACAAAATCCACTCATTTTCAATTTGGGAAGTATTTTTGAAACCGATCAAACAAGATTAGCTCAAAATATGCAGGACCTCACGAAAGGATTAAATAGACCCGAACTAATCTTTCCAGAAGAGGAGCTGGACGAGTATGAATTTGAACAGGAAAGGAATTCAACTAAGGGAACAGTGAAGGCCATAATTGCACACGGAAATAAGGCATTTCAGACGATGGTTGAACACGGAAATGTGATAGTTTCAAAGTCATCTGAAATACTTGAAAAGGGAAAAACCTTCTGGGAAGATCCATTCGGAATAAAGTCTACTATTAAGATGATAATAGCAGCTGTAGCAGGAGTAGCCTTATTAATCGGGGTATGTGTAATCTATTGGAAGGGCAAAATATATTTTATGCTGGTGATAAACGGAATCAGAACAGGGATAAATATAGTCACTACAATAATAAGTTGGATACAACCCAGGAGGCAAAGTCAGCGAATAACAGTGTCCGCTGTAGAAAGGAGGCAGACCCCGTCAGCACCTTTGGCAGAGGAAGCGCTCGAGGAAGAGGCCTATATCCTAGGTTACATACCGAAAGTGTGCCAGATAGGGGCCAAAAGGAGGAGATGTTACATAAACGTGAGCTTAAATGGGAAGAAAACGCGGGCACTATTTGACACAGGCGCGGATATAACTTATGTGAGCAAAAAGACAGCGGAGGCGTGTGGAATGAAAATTAATAATGGGGATTTTCCACAGGCCCAGGCAGCTAACTCAACCCCGATATGCTTAATTGGCTCTTCAAATACAGTAGTTGAAATAGGAAACTTCCGAGCACTTTTCCCCATTTTAATTTCCGAGAATGACGGTTGTCCCGGAGGCGCTATAATTGGAACGGATCTAATGGAAGAAATAAACAGACAGGACGAGGATTATACCATTGGTCTTGACTTTAAAAAGGGGGAAGTGAAGCTCGGAGGTCGGACGCTGCCCATGGTACAAGCGATAAATTTTGAATGGAAGCCAATAGCGGTACATCTGTTAAAAACACACATACTCCCGGCAATGTCGGACTCTATGGTCTGGGGAAGAATAACCAAAGGAGCCGGACCGGAAGAACAATTTCTGACAGTTGAAAGCGATCATAAATATTTTCCACTTAGAGTCGGAAAATGCTTAGTTCAACCAATGGCAAGAAGGATCGTTCCCTTGAGGTTGTTAAATTTCGGAAACTCGGAAATCGAAGTGCACGCGAATTCGAAGTTAGCGAATTTAGAACCGATCGGGAACGAACCAAAAATAGAGACGGTAATTAAGGAAAATGATCTATGTATGACAGATAAAGAATGGAAAGAGTTTAAAGAAGAGGTTGACCAAATACCCGAGGAGGCAAACTGGATAAATAGACTGCCTGATGAACCAAAAAGTAAAAAAGGAAAATCCATATTTGAGAGAATAGCGCTAGAGGGGAGCATTTTGAGTCAAGAAGGAATATCGGAATTAAAACAAATATTGGAAACAAATAAGGATGCATTTATGGAAGAGGACGGGAAAATAGGCAATTTTAGGGGAAAGACCGTACACCGAATCGACTTAATGGATGGAGCAAGACCATTACAGAATCGACCCTACAGATACCCCCTCCATTTACAAACAGAAATCGAAAGACAAATTAAAGTTTTACTAAAGCAAAATATTATTAGGCCATCGAGTTCAGCGTGGGCCTCACCGATTGTTCTTGCTAGGAAAACAGACGGAAGTTACAGATTTTGCGTAGACTATCGCCGACTAAACTCTATTACCAAAAAACAAACATACTACCTCCCTAGGATTCAGGACTTACTAGATTCTGCAATGGGTAAACAGATTTTTTCAGTTTTCGACATGTCCGCAGGCTTTCACCAAATTAGATTAGCAAAGGGACATGAGGAGAGGAGCGCTTTTATTTGCCACTGTGGACTTTTTGAATATTTACGCGTACCCTTCGGACTGTCAGGAGCCCCTACAACATTTCAAAGAGCAATGGAAGAAGTAAGGCAGGCATGTTCGAGGAGTTTTCTTGTCTATTTGGATGACTGCATTTTAGGCTCGGAGGATGAGAGGAGTCACTTGAATGACTTGGGGGCATTTTTAAAGACAATAAAAGAAGCAGGCTTAAAACTAAAACCGGAAAAGTGCAAAGTGGGGCAATCGGAAATCAGATATCTGGGGCATTTAATCTCAGCCAAAGGCATAAGAATTGATCCAAGGGACCTTGAACCTATAATGAAGTTGAAAAAACCCAATACAATTACGGAACTTAGGTCGTTGATAGGAATGCTATCCTACTTCCGGAAATTCACACCAAATTTCGCAGAGGTGATGAGTCCAATTTATGACCTGACAAAGAAGGAAAATACGCGTGAATGGGGGGAAACACACGAAAGAGCATTAAATCTAATGAAAAAATTATTAACATCAGCTCCCGTTTTGGCGCCGCCTAAGCTAGGAAGGACATTCACAGTTGAGACGGATGCGAGCGTTACGGCCATTGCTGGGTGCCTCTTACAACAAGGGAAGGATGAAAATTGGCACCCGGTGGCATACTTTAGCCGAAAATTGAATAAGCATGAAAAGCGATACGCCGTCGTGGAATTGGAAGCCCTAGCAATAGTGGCGTCGTTAAAGAATTTCCGACCTTACTTGGAAGGTGCTGGAAAGTCTAAAGTAATAACGGACAATTCGGCGTTGACGTCTCTCTTTCGGAGAAAGGACTTGGAAGGAAGGTTAGCAAAATATCAAATCGCGATTATGGCCTACGATGTGGATATAATTTATCGACCGGGAAATAAAAACAATTTTTGCGACCATTTAAGCAGATTTATTGAAAATGAAACCCTAGAAAGCACGCCGGAAATTAACCTGATAAAACTTACAAAGAAAATTAATTCGGAGGACATGAGGATAGCCCAAAACGAGGATGAATATATAGGACGAATAAGGAAAGATTTAGCCGAAAACGGTGAAAATGAGAAATGGAGAGAGTGGGAAGGAATAGTCTTTGCGAAAGAAAAAGGTGAATTAAGAGTTCTTGTTCCGGAGAAATTAAAGAAAAGGGTGCTTGCCGAATACCATGAAGACCCATTACAGGGAGGGCACCTGGGAGAAAAGAGGACCCTTGAGAAAATTAAAAGATTAATGTTCTGGAATAAAATGAGCGAAGACGTGAGTGAATTTGTCAGAAAATGCGACCAGTGCCAGAGGAGAAAAATAATCGGGTTACACCAGAGCAAGGAACCCATCACCCCAATAGAGCCTGCGAGGAGACCGTTTCAAAGGATTCATGTTGACTTGATGGGACCGGTACCAAAAGCAAAAAGTGGCTATAAATACGTATTGATGGTCGTTGACTCATTTTCCAAAATGATGATTCCTATACCTTTGCGCGAGCAGCAGGCGGAAACAGTAATGAATGCAATAATCACGCATGTCATAACAAAATTCGGAGTTCCGGAGACCATAGTATCGGACCAAGGAACACAATTTGTAAGCACTATCTTCAAGGAGGTGGCTGAATTATTTGCGATAAAACTTAATACAACCACACCCTATCATCAGTCCGCAAATGGACAATGTGAGAGGTATAATCGGACCCTGGCGGATATGGTTGCCACGACCACGAAGGGGAAAAACTGGCCGGAAGCCCTCCCTTTACTAGCCTTCGCATATAACACTTCGTTCAATAACCAAATAGGAGAAACACCTTTCTTTGTTGCCCATGGGTACCAAGCAAGACTGCCGTCGGAAAATGCAATTAATAGAATCGAGAAAGAGGAGGAAACCTCGGGTTATGTGCAGGAACTGAAGGAGAGGATGGACGAAGTGCACAATAGGGTTAGGGCCAAACTTAATTTGAATATGGAAAAAATGAGACAACAACAGAAAACAACTAATAGTATAGATTGGAAGGAGGGAGACTGGGTATTGGCAAAAATTGAGGAAAAAACGAGTAAATTCGGAGATAAATTCCAGGGACCGTACCAGATTATTCGAATAGAAAAACCAAACCTTGTAATTGAGGACAAGGAGAGTGGATCCCAGAGAACAATACATGGAGATAAATGTAAAAGATTCCACCGCGAGGAAACCCCATGCCCGAATGAGAGTGAAGAGGAAGCTCACGAAGTAAACACTAACCCAAAGAATTGCGATAATACTGAAATGCTCCGAATAAACCGCGTCGCATTTTTTCACAATAAAAATATAAATATTTACAGATCGGATAAAGAAATTAATTATAAAATTATGACATCACAAAACATTAATGGACCAGATGAGGATTCAATTGACGTTTTACATGAGGACGAAGTGGATCCGGAAGCTATTAACAATCACAGGTGGGAAACGGCGGAGCGGAATTGGAATCCAAACCGTATGACTTGGGAAAACAAATTAATTTTGGAAAGGAAAAAGGAAAAGGCAACCGAAAAATCCCAAGAAAAGTATAGGAAAGACTATGAGGAATACATAAATAAGGAAATTAAACGAAGAAAAGGGGAAAGAGAAAAACGGCACAAGCTAAGGGACCTTATGGAACTAGAGAAAGAAAACGCAATTAAACTTTTAAAAAGGAATTTAAACAATGCTTTCAGATCCGGTCAGTCCAAGGAGCATCAGGAGGAATCACGACGCAAGCGAGAGGAGCAAGCAGTTTGGAAAAATACTGCTGCGGGGTGGCCCGCCCCAAATGACGTAAAAAGAGAGGAGAGAAGAAAAATCGAGGGGCAGATAATTAGAGAAATTTTGTTGAAATATGCTGAAAATAATTCAAAGAAAGTTAACTTGGGAGAAGGTGAAGGTTTCGTAGAAATGGGGACAATTCAATTAAGAAGGGGAGATAGCACTTACGATGAGCTGGTGAGTGAAATAATGAGAGATCCGACCATACTGATATCGCTAAGGAAAGAGGTGGAGGAAGAATGGCAGAGGAAAACCAAAAGAGATTGGGGAAGGAAGCCTGAAGGAAATTGGGGAAGTGGATATGGACGAGGACAGCGCGAATACGGAAGATCGCCAATAAGAAGCGTCAGGAATGAGCTATGCCCAACCAAAAGAATGAGGGAAGAGGAGGAAGTTAAGCCAGAAAGCAAACGCGACGAAAGGAAGAGGAAGCTAATGGAGGAGTGGAAGAAATTGGAAGAGGAGGAGAAGGAGGAAGAAAAGAAGAGGAAGGAAGAAGAGGAGAAGAAACAGAGGGAAGAAGAAGAAAGGATGAAGGAGGAAGAGGAAAGGCAAAGGAAGGAGTGTGAGAAAAAGAACTTGGAAGAGAAGTGGAGAGAGGGGGAGGAAAAGAAACAAGGGTTGGACATGCAAGAAGTTTTGTTTGAATTTGGGAAGAAATTATTCAGATTGGAAGGAAAAGCGTACCATCAATATCAGGATTTGAGAAGCTTAAGGAAGGAATGGGAAGAAAAATTAAATAATGAAGGTCGAGACAAGTGGGAGAAACAGAAAGGAAGCAAGGGAGAGGACCGTGAGTGAGGAAGGGAAAGGAATATGTGGTGATGGGATATGTAAAAAAAAAGAATATTGTTAAAGGGGAAAAATAATTCTTGGGTGATGGGATTAGTTAAAAATAATTGTTGAAAACATACAAATTTAAATGTGCCAATACACCCCCTTTTTTCCGCACCGACTAACACCCCCGGGAGAGGAAGTAAGCTTTTAGCCAATGTTTTAGTTATCCGTTAAAATCTTTCTCGGGGGTAACCCATTATATTGTTACCCCATAATATTTTATCCCCAATTATTATTATTATTTACCAAATGCGGGGGAGCCTTCGGCAACAACAACAACATGAAGCACCATAAAAAACATCAGCCAGGGGAAAAAGCGAGAAAGTACCTGAAGGAGAATTCAATTCACAATTTAAATTAAAATTACCATCGATAGGCTCAGAGGAGTTGGCAATTAAAACAGAAATTTTGGGAATGAAAGGACCAGCTTAAGAAGGGCCAAGGAATGGGAGGAACAAACAAGGACCAAAGGAACACCCACCCAAAACATTGACTAAAAACACAAAAATTAACAAAAGGGAAATCAAAAGAAGCTACAGAAAGTTGACGATTGAAATTGAACACGTGCGCCGCGCGAACAAAAATTATTAAAAATAAAACACTAGCCAAAGGAGAGAAATAGCTATAGCCCTTCCCTTTTACCCATAGAACAAAAAGCAAAAATTTGGAAATAAAAATTTTTTGGAAAAAGAACGAAAGCGGACAAAAATTATACAAAAGGAAAATAAACAAAATTTTGGGATTAAAAATAATTTAAGCGCAGGTGGAGGAATGGAATAAACAGAAACTGGAAATGGAAAATGAATAAAAATAAACAGGCGACTAGAAAAGAAAGAAGATGACTAGAAATTGAGAAGGACTAGAAGGGAGGATGTGACTAGAAGAAGGGGATTCGAGAATGACTAGAAAATAAAAAGAAAGGAAAGATAAACAGTGAAAAAGGGGAGAAGGAGAATCAAAAAGGGGATGGAAAGTTGTGCAGTAAAAAAAAAAAGGGGAGAAGCCAAAATGGGTTAAAATCAATAAAGAGGGCAGAAATGGGAAAAAAGAAAAATTAAAAGGAAAATAAAAAAAAAAAAAAAAATTTTAAAATTGAAGAGAATGAAGAAAATGCAAAAAAAGATTGCTTTAATAGTATGAAAAATAACTACAAGGATCAAATGTCACAAAAATACGGAATGCCAAAAGTACGCCAAAAATACGCATAATTTTAAGAAAATGGGCGCGGATTCAAAAACACTAACCGAGCACATTTTGGGCACTTTTCTTTCATGGGATATCTAATATAACAGAAACTCCACCGATTGATATGCAATCATTGGAACGCCAGAAAATTGAAATTCAAAGATTAAGTATTGAAAAAAAAAAATGGGGCTCTATCGACAGAATGCCAATCAAAAGAAATTAAACCTTCACAACACTCTTTACTTCGTCCAGATGAACCAGGAATCACCAGGAGGCCCCCCCCCCGCTGTGGAATGTCATGAAATTACTTATTATCATTTCCCGCCCCCAATTTTGTCAATAAAAGGGGAGAGGACCCAGGCCAAACGCTCTCAGTTTTGGATCTTGTTTTTGGCCGGGTCCTCTCCCCGACCGGCGCATTTCTTTTTGTATTTTATTTATTTAAATTAATAAACGTTTTAAAGGAGAGGTTTTTGTTTAATTAACCGGGCGGACGCGCTCCGTTGATTGGGTTCGCCCAATCAACGGAGCCCAACGTCCGGCCCTGCCCAAAAATATATTAAAAACTTTTAAAATTATTTTGATTCTTAATATTGGATAAAAGCAAACAACGAAAAATTTTCTAAAAAGTATGTACATATTACCTGTAAGTATTTGGCACTGTCAAAGACTAAATGAGCAGCTAAAAGCATATGAAGAGCTCCCGTTGCTCCATGACACCAATGAATGAGTTCTTCTGTTCTACCTAAAAATGAAGGAATTGAGAATGAAAATGGGAAATAATTAACCAATTCTGTCCGTTCCAGAAGGAAAATTTCCATCATTTAATTGAATACTTAAATACCAATCCACAGATTGTTTGACCGCTGTTTTAGCTGAATCGTCAAGAAAATCCCAATAACTTAAGATTTAGAAAATGTTTTTAAATAATTTAAAAAAACCTTAAAAGTATTTGAAGAATGCCAGAAACTCCATGTGCGGCACCCAAATATTCATCTCCGTGCCATTGGTACATTAATGGTGAAGGGGAGTGGTGTTTTTTAGAATAAGCAAGCCCAGATTGAATTATGGAATTTAAAACAGAGCGTATTTCATCGTCAGATAGAACATCAAACCCTTTTTCTTTTCTTAAAAATATCCTTATTTCCATGTTTACTTTTTCTAAAATTCAACTTTATAATTAAAATTGAAGCCAAAAATCCAGCTCTTCCATTCAAAATCTCATCGTCACCAATTTTTTGATATCCATTTTGTAAAACAAGTTCAAGCATTCTTCTAACCTTAGCTGAAAACAATTCTGAATCAATCTGTCCTGCTAGTAATTGGATTGTGTAAAAACCAAGGGTTCCAGTGAGGTAACGGCATTCATGGGCCGCGGACATATTCTAATAACTTTATTAGAAAATTAGGATTAATTAAAAATACATGCAAAAGCTTCTGTTGTTTGCTCAAGATTACAAGTGCCTCCTTTTCAAGCTTAATGCCAACATTAGTTTTCGAGGCCTGCAACAAAGCATAAGCTATCCCGCTAGGTCCAACATAAGGGCCATCTTGAAATTTAAACATTTTTGAGTTTAAAAAATTTTAAAATCAAAACCGTCTCGATATTCATCTTCTGCAATCCTTACATACACAAGTTGATTCACCACTGATTTTATGCTTGAAATAATCCATTCATTAGTTACCAATTTTGAACCAGCCAAAACATCATCAATAAATGGATTAGCAAAATAACGAGAAGTTTGTTTATGTAGCTCAAATTCCATTTCTAAATCCTTCGATTGATTAGATTTAGTATCAATAGGGTCGCTAAAGCATTCAAAACAAGGACAGCATAGCATTTGAAAATTAAAAAATAGAAAAGTGAAACAGTTAGCCTAGGACTATTCACTCTCAAAATTTGATAAAATTAACTAATCCTATGTTCTGGAAAAAATGCTTAAACCTGTAGAATTACCGGAAAATTACCTATAAATCTGACAAATTTAATGCTGTAATATAAGTAATTATTGATATTTAACAATTAAATATATATGTATTCATAAATAGATTTAATAACAATTGTCTGTATGTAAAAAATTAAATAACAGATAAATGGATAAAATAAATTTTCTTGGCAAAAAAAGGTAAAAAAAATCAACGATCTCTAAGTAAATAAGGGGAAGCTTTAGTATAGGTCCAACGAGATCGAAACTCATATATTTAACTCGATTCCTCTCGCTGAGCTGAGTTCAAATATTTAAGAATTTCTTTCGGGAGACGAGAACTCACAGAGATATAGACCCCTAAAAATTGAAAAACCAAAGTGGTGACCAAACTGTTTTGCCGGGTCAAAAATTCGAATATGTGAATGATAGCTTATTCGAACTCGAATGACACCAAAATAAATGAAATTGCTTTTCTTAGATTAAATGTAAGACAAACGATGGAGGTGTGGTTAATGTTAGTGTGTCTCATATTATCAAAAGGAGTGTTCTATCACGGATGGCGAAGGTAATAGATTTTAGATAATCTTTTGATATTTCCGTCTGACGGCTTTAGATTTTAATTTAATATCTTTCAGTGCTTAAAAGCTGTTATGCGGGTGAGGAGCTTATAGTCGACATCAAAACCAATATTTTCTCGAAAGTTGTTGAATGGATGGGGGAACTTGGTTTATTTGTTCTTAAAATAATTTTTTAAATTATTTTTCTAGATAAGCCTGACTGTCGAATTAAACCTTATGAATCCACTCAAATCGTCTACACTTTTACTGAATTTGAGACGGATTTCTTCAAAGTTTAAATATCAGACTAATTTTCAATTTTTTGTTTTCTTTATTTTTTTAAATTTTTTGACTAAAACGAAAAATAACGTAAAAATCAAAAAATAAAGAAAACAAAAAATTGAAAATTAGTCTGATATTTAAACTTTGAAGAAATCCGTCTCAAATTCAGTAAAAGTGTAGACGATTTGAGTGGATTCATAAGGTTTAATTCGACAGTCAGGCTTATCTAGAAAAATAATTTAAAAAATTATTTTAAGAACAAATAAACCAAGTTCCCCCATCCATTCAACAACTTTCGAGAAAATATTGGTTTTGATGTCGACTATAAGCTCCTCACCCGCATAACAGCTTTTAAGCACTGAAAGATATTAAATTAAAATCTAAAGCCGTCAGACGGAAATATCAAAAGATTATCTAAAATCTATTACCTTCGCCATCCGTGATAGAACACTCCTTTTGATAATATGAGACACACTAACATTAACCACACCTCCATCGTTTGTCTTACATTTAATCTAAGAAAAGCAATTTCATTTATTTTGGTGTCATTCGAGTTCGAATAAGCTATCATTCACATATTCGAATTTTTGACCCGGCAAAACAGTTTGGTCACCACTTTGGTTTTTCAATTTTTAGGGGTCTATATCTCTGTGAGTTCTCGTCTCCCGAAAGAAATTCTTAAATATTTGAACTCAGCTCAGCGAGAGGAATCGAGTTAAATATATGAGTTTCGATCTCGTTGGACCTATACTAAATTACAGCCGTAAATAAATTAATGTCAAAAATAAAAATGATTTCCAGAGGTTTTTAATTGAAAGAGAAATCTTATTTAAAAATTTCTTAAAATAATTCTTCAAGTTTTGAAGCAATATGACTTAACTTTTAAAGTTCTAAGATTCAATAGAGCAACTTCAAAAGTTTCACAAAATCGTGGAATGGTAAATATAAGGCATCTAAAGTATTTAAAAATAAAAATAAAATTTTATTCAATTAACTCACCTTTTCCCATCGTCATATTCAATTAATTTTTGTCCAAACTTTTGTTGATTTCCACAAAAATAGACATGAGGCAATTGTTCAAGAATTAGAGGGTCTCGAGTAGAAAATGGAAAACCAGAAAGAGTATCGGGAACTGTTGGAAATAAATTACTCATATTTAATGTTCTTTCCATTTTTTCCAATTCACTTGAAGGCGATGTTAACCGTGCCAAGTCGTTAAGATTCTGACCTGTAATTTTAAACAAATATGTAACAATTACAAGTAGTCAGTCTTATGATTTGAAATTTTTTTGAAAATTTTTACTTGAAGTTAAATTATTTTCAGTCAAAAAACCTGAAGTTCCAACAAATTGTAGACCTCCCAATGAAAAACGGTATGGATTTGTAACTGTTTGAAAATTTGAATATTTCTTCTCATCAGCTCCAGTAAATACATATCTGGGAATTGGTTGTTGTGGAATTAAACATTGAGTGGGATCATTTGCACCAGGCATTACATCAATAGATAATTTTTCCTGAAAATTTTAAGATTAATTTTTACAAATTCGAAAGTCATTTTTGTTAGATTAACTTGTAAAATATTAAACAGATAATGAGAAAATTATATATTACTCAAAAAATAGACTAGAGTATATATGGTAAATTTATTGGGTATAAACTTTTTGTTAGAAAATCAAAAATCTTCGTGAGACCAAAATAATTAATATTCTACTCTAAAATGTCAATAACACCTATATTCGATAATTATTCTAATAATTTAAAACATACCAATAAAGAACAAATAAAAGCATCCAATCCTGTAAAGCAATCCAGATTTGATTCATATTCTAAACCAATTGCGGCCACCTTTTGTCTTTGTATTTCCTAAAATTTTTAAAATAAAAAATAAAAGAAAAAATACTAACAATTAAATTTAATTGAGCAAAATCTCCAGCAATAACCAAACGTATTAAATTATTAACGATATCATCAGTCTAAAATTAAAAATAAAATTCTGTAACAAATTAAAAAAGAAACCTTTTCATGAGATTTCAAAGTCAATTCATTGTTTACCCACTTTTGAAATGTATTCAGAGCTTGAATTGTTTTTGCAGATTTTTCTGAGCCGCCAGCCAAAGAGATGCCAGAAATAAAAGCAATATAACTAAAATGTGGGAAAATAAATAATCATAAATTAATCACATTCAGAGAATACAAAGGATATCAAAACCCCTAATTTATATTCTATTCCAAATTACTTTACCAATCCTTCTCAATAATTGGCCAAGGTATTTGAGGCGGAAGATCGGGCAGGATCATCATTTCAACTTTAAAAGTATCATCCATCCTAGCTTGACTGCCATAAACACCAATCACATCGCCTGTTACAAGTGAATGTTTGTTGATATTTCCGATCAGTTTTATCAACTAAAAGGTTAAGCTTAAAAATATGCATCTAAAACAGAGCTGCACGCAATTGAAAAAAAGATTCCTGAACTCGCAATCCGCAACTGCAAAAAAAACCTCGCAATTTACGCACCTCGCGTGCAGCCGTGATCTAAAAGCAAAAATCCAAACCTGTTGATTATTCTCAAGTTCAAGTAAATCGCTTTCATCCACCAAATTATCATCATCTTTTTTTGTGTATTTAAGTTTTAAATTAGAATCATCGGCAAATTCATAAAGTACGCTTTGACGAAATTTCATTTTCTTAAAAACAATTCCAACAAGAAAAACGTCGTTATTTTCCTTTTGATAATCAATTGTCGTGCTAGTTAAATTTTCATTTCCTTAATTTACAAAATTAAAATTAAATTAAAATATTTATTAACCGAGAATTTTCCTTGCATTTTTAATTATCCTTTCTCTTAATTGTTCCACTCTTGCTCTGTAAATGTAAAAAAATTGTCGACTATGGAATTTGTTGCAATCTTCCTTTCCAAGCCTATAACGATTTGATTCATTTTTATAAATTAAGTTGAATTTTCCTTCATTCATTTAAACAAATTTACCTCTAAAAATAATAAAAAAATAAGAAAATGTTAAAATTAAAAATTCCGTCAAAACTCAAAAATTACAAAAGATTAAGTGTCTGACAAATCATTTTTCCAGGTTTAGAGACCGGATTTTGTATTACATGCTCATGCCGGACCCGATAATGCCGGATTTTTCAAAAAAGTTTATCATTTTTTGAATTAAAATTTTAAAAATGAAATCAGAAAGCCAAGAAACCAGCGGAACGCCCAACTGAGTCCCGAGATTGAGTCCTGGAGCCATATTTTGGTCCATAACTTTTTCATTTCTTAATCGATTTAAATAATTAATAAATGAAAGCTCTTGACCTAAGGATTATTTTATTTTGCAGGATAATTCTGATCAGATCAACCAACAAAAAGTTAAAGCCTAGTAAAGATCAAAAATCACGATTGCGTGCACTTATCTAGATTAACTTTTTGTAGAATGATCTGATCAAATCAATCTAGTTATTAAAAATTATCCTCACATCAAGGGCTTTCGAATGAAGTAAGTTTTATTCGAATTGGTTGAAAATAGAAAAAGTTATGGCCCAAAATATGGCTCCGGTATTCAGTCGGCGGGACTCAGTCGTCCCTGCTGAAGAAATTCGGTAAAGCCCGTTTCAGAGTAGGCGATTCAGAGAAGCCGGTTCAGTGATGGCCAAAAGGAGACGTTTCAGAGTCGTAGAATAAATTAGCTTTATTTGATCACATATCATTGACTAAGATCGTCGCTTTCGTGCGCATAAAATTTGATTTGATACTTTGTATTTCTCTGTACCTCCGTCTATATGTAACATTTCGCATTTTACACAGTATTGTCACGTGAGCACTAAAAATTTATTTCACCCAACTTTAAGTAAAACATGAGGAAACCTAGTACTTTGTGTTCTTGAGCAATATTTTAAACATAAATCAGTGAATTGAAACATTTAAAAAATTATTCTTTTTTTTAAGTATACAATCTTTAAATATTTTATGCATTATTTTAACTTTAATAAAATATTTTTAGATACTTTTTTTTATTAATGTCTTCAACACTTTTAAAAATAGCAATTATTGGAGAGGGAGTTATAGGAGTAAGCACAGCTTTGGCTATACGTCAAGCATTGCCTACAGCTGTGGTATGAATATCTGAATATTTTAGATAAAATTAAAAATTAATTTAAAGATAAAAATATTTTCTGATCGTCCATTTGAAGACACAACAAGCTTTGGACCTGCTGGAATTTTTCGTTTTAACGAGGACCGTTATAAATCGTGGGCAGAAAAAACTTTTAATTTTTGGGCAAAATTAGAAAGAGAAGAATCGCCATTAAATACTGGAGGTAAATATTTTTAAGAAATTTTTAAAATAAAAATTTTTTCCCTTTTTGTTCATCTTGTGAGTGGACATATTCAATCGGAAAGTAAAGAATCTCTCGAAAAACTTGTAATTAACTGTTAAGAAATAAATGTAATTTTATTTTGAAGGAAAAAGCATTTGGTAGTATTGTTTACAATTTTCGATGGCTAACTCAACGTGAACTTTCTTTGATTTGTGCAAAACCGGCAAAGTAAATCTTTTAAATTTTTTAAGGTTGGATATTATTAACTAGAGGGCACAGGCAGGCCCGTAGCCAGGATTTTTTTTCGGGGGGGGGGGGGGGGGAATTTTTTTGCGCCAAATTTTTGGCGCCGAAGGCGCCAAAAATTTTTATTTTCAGCGCCGCAGGCGAAAATTTTTTGAATTTTAGAAGGTCGTAGGCCAAAAAAATTCACTCTTTCGGCGCCGCAGGCGCCAAAATTTTGATTTTCAGCGCCGCAGGCGAAAATTTTTTGGATTTTGGACCTTAAAAAGCCAGATTTCTTCCTTTTTTAGCGCCGCAGGCGAAAATTTTTTAAATTTCAGAGGCCGTAGGCCAAAAAAATTCACTTTTTTGCCCCAGCCCTTCCCCAAATTTTTTCCTTTTTCCCATTTCGGGGGGGGGGGGGGGAATTCCCCCCCTCACCCCCCCCCTGGCTACGGGCCTGGGCACAGGCAGGATCCCATACGGGGTTTTACGGGATTCTGTTCCGAAATCCAGTGTTTTACGAGATTAATCCCGCGGGATCCTGCCCCGCAAAAATTTGTGAAAAAATCACGTTACGGAATCCAGGGAATAAGATTTTACCGTCCTCTATTATGTATTAACGTTAATTTAGCGGATATTTGTAAATAGGGTTGTCCTTTTACCCTATTTATAGGTCATTTGTATCTTTGCTTGACTTCACCATATTTTTGCCTATCTTTGCTTGACTTCACCATATTTTTGCCTATCTTTGCTTGACTTCACCATATTTTTGCCATATTTTTGAGTGGTTGCACCCTATTTTAGTGTTTTAGAAAGGACAACCCTGTTTGTAAATTAAAAATATAATTTTATTTTTTTTTAGATTTGGTATTCATTATACAGCATATGCTGCTGAAGGCCGACGTTTTGTGTCCTATTTAAAAAACCAACTTGGCAATACTGTGGAATACAAAACTCAAAAAATTGAATCGATTAAAGAAGTTTGTTTTTCTTTTTTAAATTTAAATTTATTCCTTTAAAAGCTTGCAAATCAAGACTTTTCATTAATTGTAAATTGTGCTGGTTTAGGAGGTGGAAAATTAGCTGGGGATGATGAAAATGTTTTCCCAAATCGTGGAGTTGGAATTGTTGTGAAAGCTCCGGGACAATCACATTTTTGCTATGAAGATGCAGATACTTTTTGTATTCCAGTGTAAAAATACTGGGCTTTACTGCAGTTTATGAGTCCAATAAAAAGTTGCGCCTCGCCGACGACCGTAGGTTTACGCTGACCATTTTGAGCCTTTTATCACGACCAAGAATGAGTCAAGCTGAGAATACATGTTTCGTATGAAATAGTTGATAAAAAGAAATAATTCTTAGTCGATATAAAAAGGCTCTAAATGGTCAACGTAAACCCATTGGACTCATAAAGTGTGATTGGATTCATAAACTTTTCATTGAACTCATAAACTGCAGTAGAGCCAAATACTGAATATTTAACTAACTTTTTCTTCCTTTTTTAGTGTTGGTGATGACCGTGTTTTGTTGGGTACTTTACGTCAAGATAATCGTTGGGATAGAGAAATTAGTAGAGAAGATATAAATGATATTTGGACAAGAGTAACAGAATTAAAGCCTTCACTTAAACATTCAGAGGTTGTAAGTGAATGGTGTGGATTACGTCCAGATCGTAAGGGAGGCGTTAGACTGGAACATAAATTGCTAGAAGATGACAAAACAAATAAACAAATTCATGTATTTCTTTAAAAATTAATATTTAAAATTAATTTCTAAAAAAAGGTAATTCATAATTATGGACATGGCGCAAAAGGATTTTTATTGAGTTGGGGATGTGCAAGAGAAGTATTGGAATTAATAAAGAATAATGGAATCTGTGAATAAATTAATTATTTAGTCAATAATATATTTTTACAAATTATATTAAATTCTAAAAGTTAATACATAATAAAATCGTCTAGAATATTTTGAAAAAATTTTTATCGTTAATTTGATTCTTTCGAGAATGTTACTTAAATACCTTTTATTAATTTAAGAATTTTTCCTATAAATCTGATTAAATCTGCAATTTAAAATATAGGGTCTATTCAGACTGGATCGAGGTTCGTTTGACCCAAGACTTGTACATGATGCCTCATATCAGTTGGGTCCTAATTTAGTACTCAAACGATCCGTGACATAACCTTAGGACTCAAGTGATCCGTAAGTGATAAAAAATTTTTGGATCGAAATTCCCGGAAAATTATCAATTCTCGTGTTCGAGTATGAGATTCCCGACCCAAAAACCGTCGGGAATTACCAGTTTTCGTGGATCAGGATAAGGATCCCTGATAGAGAGCCATAGAAAATTTTTCTTAATTCTTTTGATAATCACTCGGAGTTAAAAGTCAAATATTCATTCATTACGTAATCAAATTCTTTGAATTATCTAAAAACAAACGACTCATCTTTTATGCAAGCGCACTATCAGAAAATAAATGATTTGAATTTTTTATTTGTTAATGAAATTGTTCTAAAAACACTTTATAATAATATTTTATTTATTTCAGCAAGGCTTTTTACTATTTTTAAATATTTAAATTTATTTTTCAACAAATATGCCTCTACCGAAACATAAAGCTGCTGACGCAAAAAAGGTTGAAACTGAAAGACTTCAAGGTTAATTTTCTTATATAACTAAATATATTCCCTATTTTTTTAGGTTTTCTGCAGGAGTTGCTTCGCGAAGAAGAAAACAAATATTGTGCCGATTGTGAACAAAAACAGCCTCGTTGGGCTTCTTGGAATCTCGGTGTATTTTTGTGCATTCGTTGTGCTGGATTACACAGAAATTTGGGTGTTCACATTTCGAAGGTTTAAATTAACTTACAATTAGTTGGAAAAAGAAATTTCACACTTTAATAGGTTAAATCGGTGACTTTAGATTCTTGGACATCTGAACAGGTTCAGAGTATGCGAGTAAGTTTTTACACGAATATTCTTTCCTACTACACATTTAAGGTTATGGGAAATGCAAAGGCTCGTGCTGTATATGAAAATGAATTGCCTCCGCTATTTCGACGTCCTCAGACTGATCAATCTTTGGAGCAATTTATTCGGGCAAAATATGAGGCAAAAAGGTATGAATGTTTAATTTTGTAAAATGTGAACCGAGAATCTTTATTCGGTTGGGAACAACCCAAATATTAATCTTTGGTCTTCACATTTAAGATACATAATGAAAGGATGGATCCATCCACCTGTTGATATTGCCGATCTACCTACATATCCAGGATCAATGGTACGCGACAAAAAAGTTGTTGCAACTTTTTCGACTGTTCCAAAAAGTTTTTTTTATTCTTAATTTTAAATAAAAATATTAATTTAAGGTACTTCAACAACATCTAAACAATCAAGTCAAGATTCTAATTCTCAATCAGACCATGTTCAGACTGAAATTCCGCAATTAATTGATTTCGTTTCTTCGCCAAAGAGTGGACATTTTTCTTTGAATCAAACAGGAATGAAGAGAGGTTAGTGTGGTTTTTATCATTTCCTCTTAAAAATATTAAAAAAATTAAAAAATTGGGTTGTTATTGATTATAATAAATTATATATTTTTAAATTTTCGTCAATATTAATTTAAGATTCCAACAGTATTGACGATTTGTTTGGTCCAATTGTTTCGGCAGCTCCAAATATTCAAAATCAACAACAAAGTCAATTGTTCGCTCCTCAGCCTCCTAATTTACCGTTTTCTCAATCTTCTCCAAATTTCAATAATGCCAACAATGATATGTTCTCTAGAGTATTTTCTGGAACGGAACAAGTAAATGTTGGAACTGAGCAGAGAAGGTTTTTTCTAAATTTTATTAACAATTTTATATTTTTTTTGTTTGTAGGACTAGCAGTCCCGACTTTAATAAAATTCCAAATAATTCTTTGAATGCTGTAAATTCTCAAGTCGAATCACAAAATTCTATTGGATTGGATTTACAAGGAATAGACTTTAATCTTTGCTCAGTTGCTGGCACTGAAAATCAGGGTAAATAAATTATTTTATTTTCCGTTCATGCTCATTTAATATTCTTTTTAGTCACCTCTCAAGGGAGTGCAACAGATTCTACAACGTTTTCGTCTATTCCTGCTGCTTCTGGTAATTCAAAAGTAATTTTCTTTAAAATAGTTTTATTTTCTAGATGCAAAAAAATCAACTAGTGAGATATTGGCTCTTTTCAATAAATAAATGGATGTGGAAACGAAGAGGAAAATCTATGTAAAAGTAAAAATATTGTTTGCCGGTGAATAAGTTGTGGTTTTAAGACCTTTTTTGTGTGAAATCAGGACTTGAGGGGACCTTAATTTGGATTTTATTTTGTGGTTTAACTGCAAGTTTTTCCCCTTACTTCTCTAATTAATGAAATTTTATACTATGTTTCAAACAGAAACATGGTATAACTTTTAAAAATAGTTACCACTTTACTATACGCAGAAAAAGTTTTTGTCTCTGCGGAGGAAGCCGGGCATGTCGAGAGATTCTGGTTGCCAGGCTATGTATAATTTCATTGTCAACAAAACTATAAAACAGCTTGGAGAATTTCTTTGGATGGAGGTTTTTGCTTTAAATTTATAAAAAAAAATTTTTTAGCTTATTATTAGGATTTCTTCACTCCCGATGTGAAGAATGATGTCGTGTATTCCCCGGTTACTTTATTTGCTCTTCGATCGCTATTGCAATATAATTAAAGACCAGGGGCGTAGCCAGGCCCCTGTTCCCCCTGTCTACGCCCTTGGTCTTTAATTATATTGTAATGGCGATCGAAGAGCAAATAAAGTAACCGGGGAATACACGACATCATTCTTCACATCGGGAGTGAAGAAATCCTAATAATAAGCTAAAAAATTTTTTTTATAAATTTAAAGCAAAAACCTCCATCCAAAGAAATTCTCCAAGCTGTTTTATAGTTTTGTTGACAATGAAATTATACATAGCCTGGCAACCAGAATCTCTCGACATGCCCGGCTTCCTCCGCAGGGGCAAAAACTTTTTCCACAGACAAAACAGCTTGGTCACCACTTTGGTTTTTCGATTTTCAGGGGCCTATATCTCTGCGAGTTTTCGTCTCCCGCAAGAAATTCTTACATATTTGAAAGTTCAGCGAGAGGAATCGAGTTTCGATCTCGGTGGAGCTATACTAAAGCACATATTTCAAAAATTTCCTTGATGTTTTAAATTTAGGATAGCACTGAACTCTTACTTTAGTTCGATTAAAGTTAGTTTTTGTTCTGATTTCAAAAATGTGAAATTGTATTGTTATTCTTTGTTTTCGCCGATTCATTATAATTGGTAACGCATTTTTTTGATTCTTTCCTGACATCTATTAAAAGCCTCATGGTTATTTTAGATATAACTTGAAAAAAATAAACTTTCTAGACAGAATTATTTATCCTATCTTAAGTATATGCGTTGTGATCAGGGTTGTCGTTTTACCCTATTTATAGGGGATTTTCCCTATTTTTGATCATTTCGCCCTATTTTTTCCCTATTTTATACATTTGCCATATTTTGCCCTATTTTTAACATTTTGTAATATTTTTCAAATTTTTGAGCATTTTGTGAATAAAATGCGGAAAAACAAAGAAATCTAACTCTTGGATATAAAAATTCCCTCTCTCCTATCATCGCTAAAAAAATCTGGCTTCATAGCTTTTCAAAATTCTCAAAATTTTGCTAAAAATGGAAGAAATCTATTGGTTCCTAAGATCCTGAAGAAAAACTTGATTATCGAGATTTTTCGAGACATCTCGTACGATTGTCGTACGATAAAAATTTCAGTTTTTCGAAATTTGAGATATCTCGTACAATTCTCGTACAACATTCCCAGTCCGGTCTCTATCTGAACTTTTCTGTTTTTTTAGAAATTTATTTAAAATTTTAATTATTCTTATGTTTTTAAAATAATTCCCTATTTTTTGCCATATTTTTGACCGAGTTCGCCCTATTTTTTCCCTATTTTTGAGTGGCTGCGCCCCATTTTAGTGGTTTGGAAACGACAACCCTGGTTGTGATTTGTATTTTATTTTCGTTGTGTTAATCCCCTAATTCCAATTATTTTGTACTCACATTCTGTCTTCTTGTTATACAAAAACTTCTCTTTTATGTAATTAACAGATATATTATAAATTGTTCTTTTATAAAAAATTAATTGGATAAAAATTAATTTTGCTCAAAGTTTTCGAAAATTTTGTTTAAAATTTTATTATTTTTTTATCCTTCAAATATTTTTAAAATTATTAAAAAAGTCTTTAAATACATATTTTTAATCTTTTCTTTTAGTATTATGGCTTCTTTAACTTTCGTTACCTCGGAAACAAATGGATCTAATTTATAAGGGATAGCTTCTTCCTTTTCCCTTCCCTCAAATACGTTGGAATATTAATTCAAAATATTTATTTTTTGTCCCTCAAAAAAATCTTCCAATGGAACAACAAAAACCAATAACAAATTTATTTGAGGCATTGAAACAAATATTTATTGACCCTAAATTACTTTCTCTTTATGGGATTACTTTTATTGTTGCCCTTATTTTGCCATTTGGTATGAGTTTTGTTTTGAGGAAGTGGAATGACTACAAACGGTTGGTCTAGAATTAGAATATTTTTCTAAATTCAGGTTTCCGTTAAGCACTTAAGTTTCATTAATCGAATTTTGCGATAAGAATAAAGAGTCAAGCAATTATTAATATTATAGCTAGAAAAATTATAGCTAGAAGTTTTTAAAAAATATCCCTAATTTGTTTGAGGAAATGAAATGATGTTTTTAAATTTTACTTCTACTAGGTAGTCATAAAAATTAATTTTTTTTGTCAAGTATTCGATTTCTTAAACAAAAATGATTAATGAATTTAATCAAGCTGAATAAAAACCTATGATAAAAGATAAAATTAATACACTTACAAAAATGTTAAAATTCTTTTAGGGAATTAAAATTATTTTAAATTTTATCTAGAAAATTCTAATAATTTTTGTTTTTTATTCAGAGCGAAATTAATCAAAAATTCAAAATTATTTGCAAAGATTGATGGTAAATTTAATATACTTTCAATTTATTAAATTTATTTTTAGAAGACGATGAAACAGTTAAATTGCCAGATGGAATGACTGGATTTTTTAACAAATCCTTGATGGAATCCTTTCGACAAAATGCTAAAAATTCGGGAATATTACGAGATGTAAAGAAATTAGTTGAAAAATTAATTTATTTAATTTTTAAAAGGAAAATTGTCCATTTATTTCGAGAGATGATTTAGTCGTTATTAAAGAGGAGGATTTGGGGGAAAATAAAAAGAATGGAGTAAATGAAGCTTCTAAAAATTTAAAAAGTGAAGAAGAAAAAGATGAAGAAAAAGAAGAAGAAACTATTAATTATTGTGAAGGAAAAGATGATGAGAAAATGCCTTTATTGGAAGGAATTAAGAATCCTCCAAATAAAAAAGTTTTCGAAAAAATTTCTTAAAATATTTTTAAAAATTAATTTATTAGGAGAAAAAGAAACGTAAACAATTTAAAGATCCCGATCCAGGTTGGAAGGGGTTTTTTAGAAGAAAGTTTATCAAAATTATTTTAAGAAACAGCACAAGCATTAAATAAATTAGTCGAGAATGGATTACATGGAAAACTTGCAACAGCCCAACTTCGAGTTAAAACTCAAATGCTCGAACAGAGCATGTCTGAAGAGGAACGAATAAAGGTGATAGAAAATTAATGAATAAAATTAAAAAAACAATTTAAATAACATAAAAAATATTTTCAAATCCTCTTCTTAATTTAAAGGAACAAGAAATTCGCCAAAAACAATTGGCCGAAATTTTTCAAATGATGGAGGCACAAAAAGAAAAATTTGGGATTGAAGCAAAAGAGGAAGTGGTAAAGATTGATGTTCTTTAATTTTAAAAATATTTTTATCTTTAGGTTGAACAAATGAAATTATATTCTCTATGATTTTTGTATATTTTTTTGATAATATTTGCAGCAATTAATATTTGTTTTTACCTCTACTACTAGTCATAAAAATTAATTTTTTAATACTCATTTTAAAATATAAAAATTAATTTAAAAGTTTTTATACATTCATAATTAATATTTAATAAAAAACTAATAAAAATTAAGTAAAGGACATAAATATTTTTTAATTATCTATTTTGTATTAGAATAGGTATTGAAGTATTCTTAGATATTTCAAGAAATTGAGATTGAATTTTGAAAAGTCTGAATAAAGACTTCATAAACTTTTTCTAACACATTATTTGGTTTTTTGGGTGTTCTTGAACGAGGAATTTTCTAGAATTTGTCCTAAGTTAAGGCTTTTGAAGCCAAACTATTTTCACTTCAATTTCCATATGACTTTGTTTTTTCGAGATAATTCTTTTGCTGTTAAAGTATTGACTGATTAATTATTTTTAATTAAGTTTTTTTTCGCTTTAAGCATGTGAGAAAGAAAAAATAAATTTTTTAAAATTTACTACACAAACCAAAAAAAATTGTGTAATAAATAAATACTCTCAAAAATTATTTTGCTAAATTAATTAATGTTTCCTTTGCTTTTACTTTGTTTTTATTTTTGTAATTTTTCCTTTCTTCAAGGACAAAATTGAGCCATTTAAATATTTAATTAAACAACTAGTTCTAATTAATTTTTTTTAAAAAGTTGGATATTATAAATTGTTATAAATGGAACACAAATATTAAACAATTTATTAATAAATTAAATATTTTTAAAATTGGTTGTCTACTTGAAGTTAAATTTCTGAAATTCTGGTTGACGAAATTATAATCTAGATTATTAACTATTTTGCAGTAAAGAAATTTTTCTAGGAATATTTAAACTTATTTAAAGCATATTTAATTCCTAAGGCTGTGCAGCAGGGATGTCACGGGTTACCCGAAACCCGATACCCGAAACCCGAAACCCGGCCTTTTTTTCGACCCGATACCCGAAACCCGATCCGAGAAATTTTCTAAAACCCGACCCGAAACCCGACCCGAGAATTTTTATTTTTCAAAACCCGACCCGAAACCCGACCCGAGTTTTCTCAAAATTTTCGCCCTCGTCGGAGAAAAAGGGAAGATTTTTAGCTTAATGATCTTCCAAAATTCTAAAAATTTTCGCCTGCGGCGCTGAAAAAGGAAGAAATCTGGCTTCGGACCTTCCAGAATATTCAAAATTTTTCGCCTGCGGCGCTGAGAAGGGAAGATACCCGGACTTTTTTTCGACCCGAAACCCGAAACCCGATCCGAAGAAAATTTTGAAAACCCGATCCGAAACCCGACCCGACTTTTTGCTCAACCCGAAACCCGAAACCCGATCCGAGAAAAATTTTGGAAACCCGATCCGAAACCCGACCCGACATTTTTCTCAACCCGTGACATCCCTGCTGTGCAGTAGGCGGCGTGGTGTAATGGCTAACATATCAGTCCGGTCTACTGAAGATGCTGGTTCGCTCCCAGCCCCGATTAACCTTTTGCACTAGCTTAAGGAGAGAAATAGCTATAGCCCAGCTGCTTACTTTATTTAAAGCTAAGAATTTTGTCTTTTTTTAAATCCAAAATATTAATATCCCCAAACTCTCTCTTCTTATCTAAAATTTAAAATTTTATTTCCTTTAAAAATTATTAGTTAAAAATTACTAATATCTTTTTATTTTTTAACTTATTTAACTTAATTTCTGATTTAATTTAAAAATTAATTAAAATTATTACAACAAATTTAATTGAATTTAATAAATTAATTTAAATTAAATTATTAAATTAAAAAAAGATAGATCGCTATAATCAAAGACAATTTTTGATGGCGTAATCACCTTTGCACTCACATTAATTCAATAGAAAAACGAGGGGGGGGGGGGGGAATGTTTAATGAATTGGAAAGAAAAAAAAGGAATCATTCAGTAGACAATCAAAAAAATTTAATAAATAAATATAAAAAGAGAATTGAAAATTGGGGGTATTTTCTTTTATTAATTTTTGGATTTTTGTATTTAAATTTTTTAAATAATTCTTTTAATCTTAAATTTTTACAAAAATTTATTTTTTTTAAAAGATTTAATCAGAAATTTTATCAATTCCCTTCCTACCTCCAATTTTTTTTCATTACAACGAACAATAATAATTTTTTACTGATAACAACGAATGTCTATTATAACAGTATTTCCTACCCAAACACCTACTTGCTCATTGAGCGCATTTTTAAGAAAAAAACAAAGAAGGAAAAATACAACTTCTTCACTTGAATTAAACGGAGAAAATCACGTTAGAAAATAAATATTTATTCCCGACAGTTTCTGGGGTGAGAATCTCGATTCCCGAAATTGGAAATTTATTTTCTTATGTCACACGATAATTAATAATGATACTAAACATCATAATCACACGATATTTACATAAATAATATACTTTTTCTATCAAATTTTTTTGGCAAAATGTAAAAATAAATATTAAATAAAATATTTTTAGGTATCAGAAACTCTTAATTCTGTTAGAGGGTTCAGAAGACGTTTAGTAACTGTTGGCCCAATTTTATTCATGCGTTCAAATCAGAAAATTCACAAAAATTCACCACAAGATGTTTCAGTCATTTCTGTAAAATTTTTTAATTTAATTTTTAAAATTAAAAAAACATTTTTTAGAAGAAAAATACCCCAATTTTGTTAAATAATTTTAAAATTGTTCAAATTTTTGATTGTAAAATTTCAAATAAAATAATTCCTTCGAGAAGATTAGAATGTTGCAATTGTTGTAAGATTTGAGATTTTTTAAGAGAAAAGTTTAAAAAAATATTTTTTGAAGGTCCAATAGCTAGAAGTGGACATAGAATATTTGCTGATTTTGATTTTATTTATGTTTTGGGGGGCTATAATTATGCTTTTAATAATGATAAAACTTAGTAAGTTTTTAAATGATTTAATTGGAAATGAAAAAAATTTTGGTGGGTGGAGATTAGTGATAATATAATCTTCTTTTCCAAGAATTCTTTTTTTAATTTTTTCATCCAAAGTCACAAATTTGAGGGCAAAATTACGAATTGAAAAATTTTTTCTAAGGCAAGTAAAACTGAAAAAATATAGACCAAACAATCCTTTTTGGCCACACAATCCTTGATTTTTCATTAAAAAAATTTTTTTTGGATCTCTTTAATTATCAAGAATTTTAAAAATAAAAACTGATAATTTTTTAATATAAACTATATATTAATTTAGTCAATGTTTTTTTTAAAAAATAAAATAAATTTAATAATAAATTATTATAAATTAATCTAAAAAAATATTTTTTTTAATAAAGTACTGATGTTTGGCGTTTTAATCGGTTAACAAGTCAATGGCAACAATGTTCACTTTATGACCAAACAAATCCTCTACCAAACACTCTAGCTTCATTTTCCTTAGTTCCAGTTATTTCAAATAATTCACAAAATGAAATTTTTATTTTTGGGGGAACTGGCTTTCCTTTTGGTCAGAAAGCAACGAGTAAATTACACAAAATTAAAATTGATGTTGATGGAAAAATACATTTAAATGTAAATAGATAATTAATTAATTTTAAAGAATATTTATTTTCTTTGTCTAGTTGGAAGCAGAAAATCAAATTAATAATGAAATTGAAAATGAAAATTTTGTTTATTTACCCGATAATCAAAATTTATTAGAAGAAGAATATCCCCCAAGAATGTATGGACATGCAATGTGTCACAGAATTGAATTAAATTCTGATGGTTCTCCGTATCAAGTTATTTATTTGGCTGGGGGGACTAGTGGTAGAATTTTTGATTGATATATGTATATGTTATAGATAAGCATATTTTTGATTTAAATAAATTATTATTAGAAGGGCGATTTAAAAAAAATTTTTTTAAAAATTTAAAGGTCATATATACAATATGGATATTTGGAGAATGGAGCGACCTTGTAAAATACCCAATTCTCCTTGGAAAGCCAAACTCTTAAATGTTAGAAATTAAAATTTTTTAATAATTAAAAAAATTTTTATTTAAGAGGCATGGATTTGAATCTGGCCGTTATAGATTAGAAGCTGTTTTGCATGGCCAAAAAATTTTTACTTTTGGGGGTGGTGCCCCAGACTTTTGTGCAGAATTTAATGAGGTGAGAGGGATAAGCTTGTTAATTATTTTCTAGCATTTTCTAAATCATTTTTAATCTTGAATAGGGTTCACTAAATTCTTCAGTTTATCGAAACCAACCCGAAAATCTTCGTTTTTTCGGTTTGGTTTGAAACCGGCAACCTTGCCTCATGAAAATAATTTTTTGATTTATTATCATGACAAAAATTTTTGACTTGAATTTTTAACTACCCAAAACAATGTCCAAAATTTTTATTTTCTAATATTATTTGAATATTCATAAAATTTTTGTGAAAATATTTAAATTTTAAATATTTTAGGTGCTTGTTTTCAACATTTCTGAACGCAAATTTGAGCATTGTCCAACAATTCCTGATTCAAAGTTTGGATTCCCTTTAGGCAGAAAATGCCATTCTTTAGTGCAATTAGATGATGATGTTTATATTATTGGGGGTTGTCGTGATAATTTAGAACAACAATTGGTAAAAATAAATATTTTATCGACATTAAATGTTAAGATAATGAAAGGGATAAATGAGAAGGATATATAGATAATTAAAACATTTTTGGGAAAAAATTTTTTCACTAAAAAATATTTTTTAGCAACATCCTCACCACCAATTAATAACAAAGCAGCAATTACTCAACGATGTTTGGCGTTTTAATTTAAATAATTTAACATGGAAGAAATTGCAAACAAATTTGCCTATCCCCGTTTATTTCCATTCTTCTACATTAACAAAAGATGGATGTGTTTATGTTTTTGGTGGTTGTGTAGATGAAGATCCCCTTTCCCAAACAAGAGTTAATTGTCTACAAAAATTCTGGTTAAAACCTCCATCTTTACGTTATTTTGCTTCAAATGCTTTAATTGAAAATATGGAGATAAATCAAAAAAGAAGAATTTTTAATAATTTTGATATTAAATTGAGTGATTCTGAGGTGTGTTTTTCTAGAAAATATTTCCTTCTGAAATTCATTTACCTCCCATTTAAAATTGTAGAAAAAGGATTCCTTTATTCAAATTAAATTTATCTATCCATTTGAGATAGTTTAAGTAATCACCATTAAATTAATATACAATTTATCTATCTCCCTTTGAAAGCTTTATTCTTCGAGGTCGGGAGTCCTGTCCAGAGATGTTTCGAAATTTCGATTTTCGAGGTTTTTTTCCTTTCGATTTCCGATTTTCGAAGATTTTTTTGTTTCGAAACATCTCCGGTCCTGCCATACCCGACGTTGATAAAATTCTTTTTTTCAAAATAAGAATAAAATAACCAAAAATTATCTTGGAAATTTAAATAAATTTAATAATATTTTAATTTTTAGGCACTTATTTCGGCAATTTTTAAAGCAAGCGTTGCTGCTTGAATTTTACTAATAATTAATAGAAATTGGATTTTTAAAGAAATATTTGTATGTACTTGAATTGTTTATTTTTGTACAGTGCGGTGCATATGTTTATCAACTTTATAAATTTCTTTTTAATTCTTAATTTTTTATTTAAAAAAATACGTTCTATATATCAATCGAAAGCTCTATTCGTATCTCAGTTGACATGTTTCTGCATTTTTCATGAAAATGAAAATTGGCCGAGATATCCGGATTAAGCCGGATATACCAAATCGCATAGCCTCGGAAAAAATTTTCGGAAAAAATTTAACAAACCCATTTGATAGAGCATATTTTTGTGAACATTTACCACAAAACCGCTTAGAAATATCTTTTTCCGGAACAAAGATATGATTTTTTGAAAATGGCATTTTTCGTCTATTTTTGAAAAAAATTCAATTTTTAAGCGAAAAATGCCATTTTCAAAAAATCATATCTTTGTTCCGGAAAAAGATATTTCTAAGCGGTTTTGTGGTAAATGTTCACAAAAATATGCTCTATCAAATGGGTTTGTTAAATTTTTTCCGAAAATTTTTTCCGAGGCTATGCGATTTGGTATATCCGGCTTAATCCGGATATCTCGGCCAATTTTCATTTTCATGAAAAATGCAGAAACATGTCAACTGAGATACGAATAGAGCTTTCGATTGATATATAGAACGTATTTTTTTGAATAAAAAATTAAGAATTAAAAAGAAATTTATAAAGTTGATAAACATATGCACCGCACTGTATTACTATTTTTAAAATAATTAAATTTATTTATCTTAGATAAATATTTACTTATATCTTTGATTATACATACATATATTTTTGGTATATAATTTTTGTTTTGTGTTTTCTTTTTGCTGACTTTTGAATCCAAAAATCAAGATGTATGAAAAACTGAAAAAAATCCCTGTCTACCAATTTAAAATAGAAACAAGCCCGATTTGATAAAATATTATAGAAGAACAATTGGAAATTAGCCAAAAATAAAAATAGAAGACTCAAAAGGAAGGCTTAATGTCATAAACAAAATCAATAAAAATATTTGTAAAAATGTTTTGTTAAACATTTTACTAAAAACATAAGCTAAAAATGTTTTGAACTTGAGTTTAGATGAATGTTTTGACATTCTTAGCATAAGAGTTTAATAATAAAATCGAAAGATATTTTATTGGATAAGAACAGATATATGCTTGTATTCTTTAAAATCTCGAGCTTTTCAAGTTTAGTTTGACTTCATTACAGACCTGGTCACGGATACTGATTTTGGTATCCGTATCCGGATATTTACGGCGGATACAGGCGGATATCCGCAGGCATTTTGGTATTATCTGTATCCGTATTCATAACCAGGTCTGCTTTATTAGTACAATTTTTAAGAAAATATTACAAGCATAGAGATTAACTTTAGAATAATAAAATTATTATTTTTCTGTTAATTATTATATCCATATTTTATAGATTAGAAAAAAATTCCTCGACCTAATAAATATATTTTTTTATTAATAAAAATTTTTAATAAAATTTAATAAAATTAATAAAAATTTCAACAAATTTTTTTAAATCAAAAAATGTTTCAACAAAAACAACAATTTAAGGCAATTTCACTTGAATTGCTTGTTGATATATTTAAATCAGTTTGTGGATATCCAAATATACTATTTTTAAAAGAGGAGGTTGAAGAGATAAAAGAAGGAATGAATATTTCGAAAATAAAACAAAAATGGGTACTTATGAAGATGGAGGTGCCCTTTCTGCGGACTTTTTTTGCGGACTTTTCTTCCTTTCCTTTACATATTTTACTTGTAGCAACTAACTGTCAAAGACCCTCCTCCTATTATTTTTCTTACCTAAGTTTGTACATAAAGGTCAGATTTTCTGCTTCCTTTCCTTCCTCTATTTGCCCTGTGGCATATTCAAACAAGAGACATTGGTGAAGAGAAGATTAATTTCATAGTCATACACTTATTTTTTGCCTTCGAAAACAATTTAAACAAAAAAAGCAGTAAATAAAATTGATTTGGTGTATAACATTATGAATTTCTGTGTAAAAACTTTACATTCTTACTTATATTTAAAAATATTGAACAACTGAAAAAATAAATCGTACTCAATATTGAACAACTCAATTAATTTTAATCTTCTCTTTATCAACTATGTCTCTTGTTTGAATATGCCAAGCTCAAATAGAGGAAGGAGAGGAAGAAGAAAATCTGACCATTTTGTACAATCATAGGTAATAAAAATAATGGGGGGGGGGGGGGGGGGGGGTGGGACAAGGATTGAAATTACCCGAATTTCTGTTCCAAAATCACAAGTTCTCATTCTATGAAGCATTCCGAAATCAGTAAGCCATTGTTGAAATTCAGTTTCGGGCAATTTAATTTAATCATGTAATTTAGTTAAAGTAAAAATTTTTATTGATTGTAACATTTTTAGCGTCAGTAGTATATGTTACACTTTTATGCCAAAAATTTTTATCAAAATTTTCGACATAAAACTGTCACAAAAATTTTCTACAACTATTTTTCAAAACTAATAGATTTAGGGGGTTTTAAAAATTAAACAATCGTTGCTTAACTTGCCAGATCGGACGAGTGGGCACATTTACAAAGCAGTACGGACGTAGTTAAATGACTGCTGAAATTTTAATATAAGTAAACTTAATTCCAAACCAATGAAAAGAGGAAGGTTTACATCATTTTTGAACAAATGCAATTAAATAAATATAGAGCAAAAAATATTTTTACGGAAAAACTAATATAAAAACTGGTACAAATAAGATCAAAAAAGTTAAAGATAAAAATGTTTAATAATTGTTAAAGTTTTTACAACGAATTAGGGAATAGGTATTAATCTACGTTCTAAGTATAAAGTTAGCTTCGTTACTCCGATTATAAGGGATTTGGTCATATATAAAAAACGATCTAGACGGAAAAATTGAACAGTAATTTAAGTCAAAAATTTGTATCGGCTGTTTAGTTTTAAATAATAAAATTTTATCAACAAATTCTGGCATGTACCATTTTGTCGAATACCTATTTGTCGTAAACACTTTTGTCGTATGTCCTTTTGTCGTGTACTATTTTGGCGTGTACTATTTTGTCGTTGACCATTTTGAGAATAATTTTTACAAATTTTTCAAAAGGCCAGTAAGGGAGCAAAAGCGAAAAAAGAACACATGATAGAGTTAATAGTGTTTGGTAATTTTATTTTTCTAACGACAAATGTTAAAAAATGAGAAAAATTAGATAGCGTCTAAAGTTTATAAATTAGAAATTGTGATATAAATAGAAAATTTGTAGTGCTAATAACAATTCTTCAATTGTAAATGTTTTTAATATTAATTTTTATTGCGCGTTTTTAAATATTTATCGTTTTATTTCTGTAAAAATTTTAGGCTTTAAATTTAACTGTATTTTAATTTTAATCTTTTTTACAAAGTATTTCATAATGTCTCTTCATCGAGGTTTTTAAACTGCCAAAAAATTTTAATAGATTTTAATCTTTCAGATTTGGCTCAAAAAGGTTATTTCAAAGCGGATTACTTTGTGAACTATCTCAAATACCTTCTTTATTTTAAATGGACATAATTTTTGAGGTTTTTAATTTATTTTTGTTGATTAAATTTGGAAACCTTTTTTGGGAGGAAATAGTTTTTAATTTATGCTTTAATGTTATTTGACCTTTTTTGTAGCATTTAAGGCCCTGACGGATTTTGTAAAAATGTCTATGCTATTTCTCTGTTTTCCCTTGGCAATTAATCGACAAAAAATTCTAGTCGGGCATATGAATAAGTATAGGGTAAATGAATTGAATACAAATTGTAAGATAAATAAGCAAAATAGCGATAGAGTCACACTAGGAAAGTTCCTAAAAATTTTGCAAAAAAGTTATGTTAAATTCCCTTTTTTCAAAGCTCATCATCTTTTAAGAACTCTCAAATACTCCCATGTTTATATTTACTTGAATGCTTACAACATGCAGAATTTCGTGAAGTTATAGCATCAACTGACAATGCTCGTTATATTGAAGATCAGCTTTACTACAATGGCATTTTTATATGCATGTTAGGCAACGCTTACAGGTTTAATTTTAAAAGGGTTTTTAATCTTAAAATTAATTTAAATTAATTTAGCAACATTCCCAGCCCGTTCAGCAACCATAAAAATTGAAATAATGGAAAACGGAAGCAGTATATTTTTTTGATTTTTGATGATCTTTTGTATAACATTTTTTCACATTTGCGATAAAACGAGAAGAGTGACATTTGATCCCATAAGATTGTTCTTATTTCTGAGCTTTCTAGACCAATTTTAGAAAATTAAGGAAATGCCATATCATCAAATACAAATGCTGCTGAGGCAGATGAGAGAATGGAGGAATGTATAACCTATGAAGAATAAAATTTGGAAGAAAAATTGTCCGTTTCTTTATGACATGGTATTTTAAATAATTTTATTTATTGTTAGTTTCTTGGGGGGTGTCTCAAATTTTGGATTGCGACGGGTTTTATATTTGGAAGGGACTATGTTTAGGACGGTTATCCAAGACCAAGGCTTTTTCGTCTCTTAATTTAATCAAAGGAAAATTTCCCCGACTTCGTCTTAATCCTGCTCTTCCCTGAAATACACCCAATATCCTTAGCG